CCTTTTGAGGTGTGGACAGATCATAAGAAGCTTGAGGCCTTGAAAACACCCGGAAACTGTCACCCAGGCAAGTTCACTGGGCACAACACATTAATCATTTCAATTGTATGTTGAGATACCTTCCGGGAGGGAAGAACTTTATGGTAGATGCCCTATCCAGGCTGCCCCAGTATAACAGCATCAGACCAGAGGTGATCCATCTGGTCATTCCCTTTAAGCAATTAGCGGCTCCAGTAGTAACTAGAGGCCAGGGAAAGGTTGACCTGGATGTATCCACAGAGTTAACTAAACGTCTGAGGGACTAGCAACTGCTCCATTCCAACAAATGCACGATTTGTGAGGGCCTTGCATGGGTGGAGGCTAAATCGTATGTGCTGGCTAATCTTAAAGGTGTTGTCCTAAAACAGGTCCGTGATTCAAATGTGGCTGGAATTTCAGGTTCATGAAGACCTTACATTTAGTTAAAAGGCAGTTTTGGTGGCCTTCTTTGAAAAAAGACATAGAATCCTACATTACTAGTTGTCCTGTTTCTGCTGTGGTGAAAGGCCACCAGGAAAGCCACATGGACTACTCCAGAATGTTGCTAGACCTGGCGTCCCTTGGAAGGAGATATCCATGGATTTTATTGTGTTTTTTTTTCAAAGAATTTTTATTTTTTTATTCTCTTACATACCATTTTAAGTATACATTCACATAATTGGTATTCCTCTCTACATTTATCATTCTTATACATTTATTATTTCATTTAATGTTATAATGTACAATTTGGGTTGCTTTATTTACCACCCCTTCTTCCTTTTGTAACACCTCCTTGTTTTCCCTTTCTTTTCTCCCTCCCTCCCTTCTCTACTTTCTTCCATCCTCCTTTCCTTCTCCTCCCTTCTTCCCTTATCTTTTTCCTACTCCTGCTCTTCCTCTTCCTCTTCTTACCCTCTCTCCTTCTCTTTCTCCCCCTTCCATCCTCCTCTCCTTCTCCTCCCTTCTTCCCTTATCTTTTTCCTACTCCTGCTCTTCCTCTTCCTCTTCTTACCCTCTCTCCTTCTCTTTCTCCCCCTTCCATCCTCCTCTCCTTCTCCTCCCTTCTTCCCTTATCTTTTTCCTACTCCTGCTCTTC